CAATGTTTTCTGACTTTGAGTCGAATTTCCTGTAACTGAAACGTTTCAACAACAAAATAGCATGTATAAATTTTTTTTTACTAATTAGAAGGATCAAAAAATTTTTGAATCCATATACAGTAAAATCTCGTTACAACAAAGCCCTTATTGGGACCAGTGAAATAGCTTCTTTGTGACGAACAATTTGGTGCAACCATGAACTTCGGTGTAATGGATAATACGTAATAACGAGATTCTCCTGGTTTCGTAAATGGGTATGCCTTCATTTAACATTCCCGCATTTTCAGAAAATGCAAATGCGAAGAATTTTTCCAGGCCCTGGGGCTGCTGTGCTGCTCGTGCTTCTCTCCATTATTCGTCTTCTTTCCTTTTTGTACAGCATTTATATTTTTTCTTTTCTTTTTTGAAACATGATTGCGACTTTGTTTTCGAGTCCCTGAAGATGACGGGAGTCTTGATGCGAGTTCGATCGAGGTCGGGGATGTGAAAAGGTCAGGCCAAAGCCGACTGACGGGATCCCGTCCTCGTCGTTGCGAAACGGAATATAATCCGTATTTATCGCATATGCCTCCACGTCCGTCCTCGCCCAGCATCGGCTTTTCCTTTCCTTATTTTTTATATATATATTTATATATATATATATATTTTTAGTGGCCGTTGTACATCACATCACAGTACATGTTTCTCAATATAAGTACCAGTGTTTCATGTGTTGACCATCATCATCACGATTGTCATTTCGGAAATGCATCATCGTTGAACGACGCCGTGTGCCGATTTTCTGCGATGGCTCATTTTCTGCTGAGCCAAGGTCAAGAATGAATGGCTCGCTAGCTGGTCGGAATTCTTCGCCTGAGGGCATTTTTATTTTCTATGCACTTTGAAAAATGGTTGCTCTACTAAACGTCTTTCAAGAAAAAATATGGTTCTCGATTTTTTTTTGCACGAAGAAAAAACAGGGGGGGGGGTTGACCAGCAATTTGGGAAAGACATGTTATTGTGAAGGATGTATATAGAAAGGACTCGACTCCACGTGGGGTTTTTTTTATTTTTTCAATAATGATGCGAGAGAAGCCGAAAGTGGCGGGTTTTATGATGGGATTCGAGCCCTTGAACTGAACAAGAGGAATAGTATTTTTATTATGTTTTAATGTTTTTTTTCTCTTTTTTTTGTGAAGTATTATTTGGTTGGAGTTTGTCGGGTCAAGTTTCCATTTGCGAAGGCGGACTTTGATGGAGAGTCTCAAATTCCTCTGGTATTTTTGGCCCCACTTCCAATCAGCATTCCTCCATATTGAGGGAGAAATCTGGGAGTAGTGATGAATTTATGCAGTGCAGCCAATACAAAAAAAGCACCAAATATCAGCATAATAAAAAAGTTTAGGAGGAAAACGTGACTAACATTATGAAATTATTTCACGTAACAAGCGTTTTTATGGCCCAAAATATGCGCAAATTTCCTACATTAAGCTTTGAACTGAAACTAAAAAAAATTTTCAAAAATCAAGACATGAAAGAGGAAAAAAGCCTGGTTTTACTTCTTTCTGTCTTTGCAATGTCAGAAATTGAGCAAGTCCCAAGAAAGAATTGCCAGAATTACTTCAATTCATGCAAAATGGTACACAATTATAATTCACAATTGACAATGTAATTCACAATTCAAAATGTAATTCACAATTCACAATGTAATTCACAATGTAAATCGCAATTCACAATGTAATTCAAAATTCACAATGTAATTCAAAATTCACAATGTAATTCAAATTCACAATGTAATTCACTATTAATAATTCACAATTTTCTGCTGAGAAAACTAAAAAATTGTATAGCTTATTATGGTCTTTGGTTATAGGCTTACTGTTTAATCTTGAGAGAAAATTCATTTCACATAACAATCATGTGGCATTGTAAAACTCAGCTAGGAATAGACTAGATTTTTATGCAGTGGCTTTTTGTACTTCAGTGCTCTGCTTGGAAGCATGTCACCTATTCTTCCAGCAAAGAATGTATGCATAGCAAAGGCCAACTTAACAGCCAAATGCATTTCAAAGTTCTCAAAGAGCTCTACGCAGGAATGCCATTGAAATTACCGCAGCACCTATATTGGTACCACGACACCAAATAACCATTAATAACCATTTGTGTGGTGGTATCGTAGATATTTTGAATTTACTAGCTGAGTATGGCATCATGCTTGCCTGTTAGGCATAGCAAATGTCCTGGGAGGGTTTGACACATTACACATAGCATAGCAGTGTGGAGCATGTGAAACACATTTTCAATGTGTACAGTCACCTGCACAATGGACCTCCCACACAACACATTTTTGCACAAGAGACTGCCTCTGTAGGCAATTTTATCTCTTGCGCGATGGATTAAATCTTGCTTAACAGACTTCTGTTGGTTTATAATTAATGGGAAAGAATTAAAATTTTGAATTTCCAATGAGGAAATTTGCATAAAAGACTTTTCACACAACTGACTAGTCTGTTGCAAAAATTAAGTACATTGTGCAGGGGGCAACTGTAGTGTTCCACCTAATTATTTGCAGGTTCTGCATGAGCCAATTTGACCTCATACACACAGAAGTAGTAAACTTAAAATTATTGATGAATCAGACATGCACAGCAGCACAGTGATTCAAAACACACATACCAACTATCTGAGTGTTTTGAATCACTGTGCTGCTGTGCATGTCTGATTCATCACTATTCTATTTTAGGTTGACTATTCTGCTGAAGTCAGATTGCATCAACCATCAAGATTCAGATGGATCCAACACATGAAGAGGTTCAAAGTTGACATGGAAAATTGCTAGTTGAGGGCTTTTGAGTACAGTGCTAGTGTAGGGCTGCATTGATGATGCACAAACTGAAACTTCAGATGCACAACTCAATCCAAAAATTCTGGAAGGAGTATGTGACAACTTACCTTGTGAGATTGGGAAAACTTTCTTGTGGTCTTCTTTCCGGTTAAAGTTGAATGTACTAAGTGTTGGTAGAAATTCACTTATGCTGTGTGGAAGTTGGGTCACCCCACTGTAAAGCTGTCTGCCTAAAACAACTATTGAATCTAGTCTCGTCATGTGATTATATAACTAAAGTTGAAGCTTGATAACTAAAACCTTCCTATATGTTGGAAACCTCCATAACTCAATCTTTGTTTGATTTACAAGCATTATCAGCTCTAGTCCCCCTTCCCTCTTCAACTGAGAACCTCTTCAAGTTAAAATTCTTTGTTTGGTCCATTTAATTGTCCCTTACAAGGGATGGGTGAATTTGGACAACCTCAAGTGCATTTGGCATTGCTTAGTAATGTGCTTTATGTTTCAAAAAAACATCCAGTTACGTTTTTATTGCTCTTCTCCTCCCTGGGTCTCTAGAATATTTGTTTGGGAACCAGAACTTGTACCAGGGACTTGAATTTTGGTCCCACTTTCCTTCTGGCATCCACTTCCCCTGGATGCACAACTTTTTCAAAACAATTTCCTTCCCATTAATCAAAGACAGGAAGACAGGAGAAGAAGGTTCTGTGCTTCAGTTAGGTCACATGACCAAAACATACAGCTGGAACATATAAAAACCCCTTTTTCCCATTTCCACAATAATCAGTCCTTCAAATTACCTCTTGATGTAAATATCCCTGAAATATGTAAACCCAATTCTGAATCATTTATGATATTTCACCCTGACTTCCTATGCACAATTTTTTTTTTTTTGGATGTGTTATATTATTTGCATTTATTGTAAAGTAATTTGTATGTGTCATTTGTGTACTGCGATTCTTTATGAGTAAACCAAACACAACTAGAGATGTGTAATTAAGATGCTCCCTCAAGCACACATTCCTGGCTGCAAAATGGCTGATTGCCCTGTTTGATCATTTCTACCTATTTTTCCACTGTGCTACAATTCAATCTTCATGTTGAGGCAGTTAAATCCCCAAGAATAGCACAAAAGCCTCTCAAACTTTAAATTAAACATTTTTTAAGGAAACATATTTGAAAATCATTAATAAAATTTTTTAAAGGGTTTAAGGATTGAATATGTTCATGTAAGTTGTAACAATGTTCTTCAGTGAATTCAGGCATGGACAGAAAAAAAATTAAACATGGAGAGGTTTGAGTTAGCAAGGTTCAAGTGTTTCACATTTCTTTTTGGCATGAGAAATCATGAAAGTCAATGAGAAACATAGCCAAGACCCTCACAGTACAGGTGGTACCTTGTAATTTAATTTCCTGCAATTTGACAGTTGAATTTGCTGGGAGGTCAACTCGCAATTTGACCTCTGTCCCGCAATTCAACCTGAAAATAGACCCAAAACATCAAATGTGATGCAGGAACCAATGCATTTGATGTTGTCTCCCAATTTGGCAGCATTTCAATTTGACCCTAGCTCAGCAAAGTATTACAGTCTAACTACGGGGTACCTGAATATCTGAGATTGGCAATCAAGGATTGAATCTCTTCAATAATATCCCCTAGTTAATGAGGATAAAAAAAAAGATCCATTTGACATAGACAGAGGACGTCTCTCTCATTTTCAGATGGCATTGAGCACGGTTAAAGGAAGGGAGATAAAAAACACTTAAAAAAACGTCAATTAACTTTTGGTCCGCCTGAACCTCGCTTGAGAGCTTGGTGCGGGACCGCACTCTTAGTCGAATTGAAGGCCCTAACCTCTCCAGAAAGTTATTTTCGCACTGGGTTTTTTTTTTCAGCCTCTCATCATGGTGTTAAGAAAAAAACAAAAAGGAGAAAAAGGGGGATTTCTTCAAAGCCTCATTTACGACCTTCGTCCCGCTGCGGTGCCTAATTTTTCAGATGCCCCGAGGCCAGGGCGGGGATGGAAAAAGACCGTTTCGATTTTAACTCGCTGCAAGATCAGAGGAGCTTGTTTCCTTCCTTCCTTTCGATCTCTCTTTGTATCTCTTTTTTTTTTTAAACAAGTTCCCTGCTGTGGGTGGTTCTGTAAAAGTTGGGACAGATAATCGCAGCGAGATGAAGGGCTGGGTTCGGAATTACGGGTTCCAAGGTGCTGGGTTATTATTTGCTTGTTTTTATGACAATACGGCCTTCGGGGTTTGAGGGGGGTTCTGTGCAGCCTGTCTTGTTTTGCTTTGTAATAACAAAAAAATTCAGTATTGGATATACAGTATCATGCAGAGAAGTTTGATTTATGTACAATTTTGATGAGTTTTTGTTTCAAAACCGCGAAAGTGTTGTGGATTTCTCATCTTATTTTTGGAGATTCATTTGTTCTTCTTTGCGTTTGATCACGCGGAAAATCGTCAAGTCAACTATAGAATGTTCAGGATGGAAAATGTTGCTGAGTTGAATGCAATTACGATATTTTGGAATGTGTATCGTCATATTTTTGCAAACCATTTGTTGAAACAATGACGCTTTCCACCCGAAAATTCCCGTTTTATCATCCTGGTTAAATTTCCGGTTATTTTTGTTATATAATATATGCGGTGAAATTCCGTTTAAAAGAATTTCTTTCTTTGTCCCAGAAATTTTCTCTTTATTACTAATTTTATTCAATAAATACTTTTTGCATTTAAAATACTCATTTTATCATAGTACAGTATAACAATGTTTGCTGCTTCCTGTGTGTGAGACAGCAGGGGCCTTGCAATTATCAAATAATCAGTGCAAAAACTTGAAATCCAACTTTTGAATTGTTGAAAACCACGAAGAAAAGTAGGTATAATATTTTTATTCCGAACTTTCAACCTGTGCTATTTTTATACTTTGTCGAGCTTTACTTTTGAATGTAGTAGTGAATATTTTTTAAAGAAATCCAACTTTTGAATTGTTGAAAGCCATAAATAAAAGAAATTATTTTATTTTTATTCAGAACTTTCAACCTGTGCTATTTGTATACCTTGTCTATTAGCTTTACTTTTGAATGTAGTAGTGGCTTTTTTTAAATATAATTTTGGAAAAAGAAAATAGCTCTCTTTGAAAAAATACACTTGGTAATGGATAAGTGCTGTTTTTGAAATGGTATCTTTTTGTTGTTTCACTTTGCATTTCATTTATATAAGTACTTTTTTTCAGGGAAAAATATGGAAGATCTAAATTAAGATAATTGTAGTTTCAATTTTTTTTCTTCATTCTTTGAGAGAGAAAAAGAGCTGGAAATGATTGCCATTTTTTGCATAACTGTTCTGGAAGCAATTTAAAAGGTGTTTTCACACATCGCTTGCACAAATTCAGTCAGAAATATCCCCTATAAGAAACATGAATCTCATTAAAAATACTATTTTTTCATGGGTTCCTGGTGGGAGTTTCTTGTACAGCAGTATAATGAGATTGTATTGCATAATATGGCTAAAAATCCCTGCCTTCTTATTTTGTCATTATATTTCCATACAGTATTTTTCAAAATTTATAATACGGTATTTTTGGTTCCCGTTATTCTGGATTATCATCCTGAATGCTTCAAGAATCGTGAATCTCATTATATGAAACGATTTTGTCACCAGTCCGCCCTCTGGGAGTTTGTTGTAATGAAATATATTCCCTGTGAACACTACATTTTGAGATTATTTTTCGCTGCAATATTTAGCATATAGCATATCAAGTTTGCTTCATTTTATCGTGGATTTGTATATCGTCTGATTCGCAGAGAGCGACGCCCAGCAGAGCAGTGCCCGGAAAAGGCGGCGATTGCCCGGGGGCAAGTTGGAGGCGCCGGACTTTGACTGCCCAGAGGACTTTGGCTACTATGCCCACCACTCGGACTGCTCCAAGTACTACGTTTGCGTGTTTGGAGGGGCCCTGCTGGAGTCCTGCACAGGGGGACTGCTTTACAGGTACAGTACATCAGTACACTGCATATGAGTGTGTATACTGCGCGTAGTATTTGGATTACAGTTATTGTGGTATACAGGACATACTGTAGAGTGAAATCTCATTGCAACAAATTTTTCAATGTAACAAACTTTTTTCCAAGTCCTGGCAGAAATTTTATTGGGTTCGGCACATGTTATAAATTTCTGTCAGAACAAACGCTCAGAATCCAGCGCAAAAAACCTTCTTTTTTTTTTGAGGATGTTGTTGGGGACAACAGTCACCACAACATAAGGATGAAAATACTGGCTGTGGATCAAGAAAATTAGAAATAGAAACACAGGATCAGCCTGGGACAAGGGACTCTAGCTTGAGATCAGGCTATTTTTAGAGGCCTGGGTTTGGCCAGGAAAATCTGAGTTAAAGATGACTCTGGGGACAGAAAGCCTTGAAAGAAGGTTCCCAGCTTGTTTTCTGCTGCTCTAAATTCAACCATTTTTTGAGTTTGTCCTTGGGTAATTTTTCTTCCCCATTGACTCTAGCCTTGATTATTGAGGCACTCATTGGCCTGGAGGCAGCTGGTCCCCAGCAGATGTGATTTTCTTAATGAAACATCCCTAAAATGAAAGCAGGCACAGTCTCAAATTTCCTACTCAAAATGTTACTATGACTGGTTCTTGTAACATAGATGGAAGGTTAAACCAAGGACTAAAATTCTTCAAAATTCACCTGAACATCATGAAAAAAAATTATTGTGTTATTAGGCAAGATGAGGAGTGGGGGTTAGATGAAAAACAATGAACTCAGCAAAACCTCATGTTAAATAGGGTTTTGGATGTTTGAGAAACCCTCCTGATGCTTGACAATAATAAGTTTTTTTGAAACATCCAGCCTTACAAATATGTATATGCAGGAATTGCTTTGAGAAACTTGAAGTCCACAACAAATGATACAGTGAACCGTTCCAACAAATTTTTTGGTGTACCCAACTTTTTTCCAAGTCCTGCCAAATATCCTATACGGTAAAATTATAAAACTCTCATTACAACAAGCTTGCAAATTCCAGTGCAGCAACATTTTTTGTTCAGAGTACATGTTTTTATCAACAATCAAATTTCTTTTTGAAGGTCCCAGTTTTTTTAACACTGAAAATTATCTGAATAGGCCACAAAGGGAAGATATTGAATATATGCAGGTCTAATTTGAAAAAAATCTTCCCATCAGTCAATAATTTTCAAAATTTTGTTATAACAAACTTTTTCTGAGGTCCTCACAAGTTTATTGTACAAAAATTTTACTGTATAATAGTGTTCAGCTGTTTTTTTAGAGTAAATGTTTGTTATTAACGATTAAATTTCTCTTTTGAGATCATGTTTTTTAATCATGGAAAAACAAGTGACAAAACCTCAGAAGGAAGATTTAAAGATTTGAATTTTTAAAACGCATGCAAACACAAAGATGACATAATTTCCACTTCAGGAACATATGGTCCCATTGGTCCCATAAGCTTCATTTTGGTGTGAAAAAAATGGTTTCTCTCAGGTTACAGTCAAAGCTCTGCAAGTTAGGCACAGAAGGGAAACCAAAATATTTTTTTACAATGAGTTTTGACCTTCACAGACCAGCTTTCTTTTTTTTTTTTGCTGGAATAAAAAAAAATCATCAATAACAGGAAGGTAAACCTGATGATATTCTGGTCCTTCAACTTCAGATGCTCAACTTCAAGGCTAAGGTTGCCCTCTTTGTCACTCACTTCCTCTTGAAAAGCATCAAATTACATTTTTATTCATTTTCGTCTTTCCTGGGTCCCCAGAATAAAAAGGAAAAGACCTTTTCAAATGTTTGCCATCATGAAAGTGTGAAAGCTGGGGAAGCAGTCTTAGAGTTACTGAGTTATATTTTGAATTATTCCTATGAAAAGCAATTCAGACAGGAACCATACCACAAATTTTTAATAGGGATGTTTTTAACTTGGGACATTGAAATCCTGTTATGATAACTATCAATCGAATTATTCCCTACAAATGCAAGATTTTTATTTCTTAAATTTGCAACTGTTTTAGGCTAATAAAAATAGGATACTTCACATTTTCTTTCTCTTTTTTCGCTACAAAAATCAGAAATATTGAACACAATCAGGGCATTTTATGTAAAAGATTTGTTTTGTAAAAAAAAAGTTAAACAAAGTTATGTATGTCGTTTTCTTCACTAAAAATGCTTTTGCGTGGATACTTCGGTACATGAATCATTCGTCGTTATGCGGGGACTTCGATGCATGCAACAGAGTTCCTCAAGTTATCTGCTAATTTATGCTAAATGAAGCCTTCAACGCAATTTATTTTTCTTCTAACTGCTTTGTTGGAAAAACAGTACAGTACTGTACTCGGAAGATTTGTCCATCACTTATTATGCTCAAGGCATAAATCTCGAAGCAAGCATCAGTAATGAAAACTTGACTGTCTGCAGTAACGGTACATTTTTATACAGACGAAAGGGCCTTGGATTGAAAAATGATGGTGTGAAAAAACGCGACAAGTTCTGTGCAAAATTTAGTAAGTATTTTTAGAAGGGAATGTTTTAAACAGCAGCAAAAATTGCTAATGCTTAAAAAAAAATTGGACCATCTCTCGTCATACAGTATTTGTATTTCACTTACATATACAGGGTGTACTTGAGAAAATTCTATTGATATATTGCAAGACAAAAATGTTTTGTGGGTTAATGACGAGAAGCATTGTTTACAGTACTTGAGTATGAAATCAAAGTTTCAAAGCAAAATGCTTTCTGAAGAAGCTCTTCACTTTTTTTGTTCTTTTCAACAATTTATAATTTTCTTGCATAATATTCAAAACACGTTCTTCTCAATAAAGGGGAAAAATTGGTTGAAATTCAACTTTTAGCTAATAATTCATCTGACAAAATTGAATTTCGACTGAAAATCATTTTAAATATTTGCACTGTAATCATTTTTCATGGGCAACCAATTTTTTCTTCACTTTTTTTTTTTTGTGTGTGTGCCAAAAAGTCACGCGGTTGAAACAGTACAGTACTGCAATATATGTACTCATCACGCGTTTCGGTTGATGTAAATGCAGATTTTGCTAGATTTCTCTATGGACAAACGCGTACAAAGACGACTTGATTTGGTTTTAATTTTTTAATGTATTTAATTATTTTAAAATTTGCAGTGACGAGTTGCAGACGTGTGACTGGCCGAGGAACGTCAAGTGCGACAGAGGCGTCATCGAGACTGACACTGACTCGCAAAAATCGTCACCGCTGTCGTCGTTTTCGTCGACACCAGCGAGTGAAATCTCGCAGACGTCGTCGTCGTCGTCGTCTTCGTCGAGAAACCGCGATTTTCTCGGCACCACGGAGCGTCAGCCGGCCAGTGAGGATTTCCTCACCACCAGCGACGCTTTGGACGCAGGCGAACACCAGCACCAGTACGTATTTCATTCTTCATTTAAATTTTAAAAAATAATAATAATAATAATTCCCTTTGAATAATTGCGAGAAAAAAATTCTACAGAGATAGTCAAATGTGTGATTGTTGGAGTTCTGATGTCAGTTGTCAAGAAAGAACAAGGATTCAATGCTCAATAACCTGCTAAATTCGAAGTGACTGTTGATCAGGCTGACACACTGATGGGTTCTGAATGATAGTCAAATGTGTGATTGTTGGAGTTCTGATGTCAGTTGTCAAGAAAGAACAAGGATTCAATACTCAATAACCTGCTAAATTCGAAGTGACTGTTGATCAGGCTGACACACTGATGGGTTCTGAATTTGTTTACTGCATGTTCTCAGAAGGGGGCAGAGTTTTGTTTTTAATGTGTCTGAAAGAGTTTATTCCATGATCAAAACTTTTGTTAGCTTAACTTACTTGATGGGATTGTGAGTCAAAAGTGCAACATAAAAATACAGTCGAACCTTGATAAGTCCAACCTCTGTAAGTTGGGATCTTGGGAACCTCCATGAGTCAAATTTTTAGTTTTCAAGTCCCTGGCTGATTTCCCTTAGAATCAATGCATTAAAAACATCCCTAAGTCAAAGTATTTTCCTCTCAAACTCCTTTAAGTCAACTTTCCTGAGGCCTTTGGCTGTTATTTTCTTGACACAGGAGAGAGAAGAGCTATAAAAAAGAGAATTTGATGTGTTTTGAAAGGAAGTGAAAGACTAAATTGGGAAAATGAACACCTCCCTCCAACTTCAGCATCCTGTCAAATGATTTAGGAGAGACTTTGAGGCTTAGGATATCACAATTTACAATGTTGTGTAATTCTTCTAATTTTCCTGCAGCAAAAGTTCTTGATGGGTCCATAATACAAACCTCTACAACTCAAAACCTCCCCAAGTCAAAACCTAGCTAATTCAAAGTATTTGGATGGTCCCTCCAAATTCAAATTAGTAATGTTTGACTCAATGCTGTGGTTGAGTATCTGTTTGATATTTTCTCTTAGGACAATGCATAAAATACTCCCGAAAATCTCATATAAGCAACACCCTTGAATACATTCATTTAGAGTCTCTGACTGATTAATGTTTGCATTTTAACTCATTATTATTGGCTGTTGATGGGGTTTAAACTCTAAATAAAAATGAGCAGATATAGTAAGACTGCATAGCACTCCCCAATTGAGACAGTGGACAAAAGAATTCTTGAATGAAAATTGTTTTACCAGTTCAAAAGAGAAGGAAATCTGCTACCTGCTTATCTGCTTGAGATAAAAACATCAGCAGTGAATTCAACTCTTTGTGGGCTTGTAGTTAAATTTTAATCCCATTGGATTTGTGAAAATTGAGTTGTGTGGCTTTTGCTAGGATAAAATATTTTCCAAAATTTTAACGAAGAAACTAAGGTGCAATTCTCACTCAAAGGAGTGTGAGGTACTCAAGTATAGGTACATTACATTTGAAGTTCATCCGACTTGGACATGTATAAATGCTGTATAAACGATTCATTTATCCATGTATGGAGGCAACCTTCAAACTGGAAATAATTCCAAAATCATTATGAGGAAATTTCTGTTGTCTTTTGCATGGCAAACATGGTGGAGCAGGAACAATGTCATGGTGATTCACAATCTTTCTCAACTTTCATCTAAGGAATTGTGATACTGTACTATACAGTACTGTAGTTTATGTTCCATTGTGGAGACAATAAAGGTCATAACGCTTTGAAGAAGAAAAATTCTCTGCCTGCATCAAAATATTTAAATCCCAGTACACATCATAGCATAGAAAAATGTCCAATGTTATTCCACTCAGTAATTTTACAGGAAAACGATTTCATGATTTTAATTTTTGATTGCTGGTTTTTGAACACCTGACATTTGATTTCTGCTGTTGAACTTTTTGGCCAAGTCGGGAATCTTGATAGTTTTCTGTGTGAGAAAACAGCTTTGGCATTTACATCTTTGATCAGTAATGTTTACAGCTTCCGCAAAAAAATTGGAAAAAGCAGGTCAAATTGTGGGGCAAGAATTGAATTGCAAGTCAACCTTTCTGCAAATTTGACCATTGAATTGTGGGATGGTCAAATTGCAGGAGATTAAATTGCAAGGTACCACCTGTAATTATTGTCAAAGATTTGTTGGCTGACTAACTATACATCAAGATATATTTTGTATTTTATATGGTATTATTTGTGTTTTATATTGGCTAATTTGGGTAAAAACTGCAATTTATTGCAATTTTCTGCCCAAAAATTTTCCAATTTCTATCAAACATGAATAGTAAAGGACAATAGTTATCTGAATTGAACAATCTAAAAAAATAGTACAGTATTAAGCTGAAAGTTTATAAAAAAAAAAATTTACAGTTATAAATGGATGTCATTCTAAAATTAATTCCTTCTTCAACTGACACTACCTGATATATTGATTTTATTTCCAAATGAATCATCATTCTTTTATTTTTTTTCTTTCGCAGGATTGATTTCAACTCAGTTGGAGGCATCGACAAACAAGCTCTGGACAAGTTTTCTCTCCTCGACACTTCTGATGTGAGATATTTTGAATCCTTTCGGCTAATTATTTCGCATTGGTTTCGGATCGAAGAAGAAAAGATGCACTTTGTATGTCTTACATTGATTGAGTTGTTCTTCGATCTCGTGGAAATTCACCGCCTATCCGTACAAGGGTTGTCCCAGTTGGACGCGACCACTGATATTTTTATTAGAAGGTTGTGATTTGAAAAATTAATGACATATCCCATAACGATAATTGATGTTATAATGACATGATGTTCTACGGCTCTGAGATTTTTCCCAGAGTTTTAAAAAAGTTTTTAAATATATTTGATAAGTGAAAATTTTCAGCTTTCACCTAAAGTTCAGCTCTCCTGTGTCAAATTTTTTTAAAAATGTGTCAGGTCAGCTATGAAAATAAAAATATTTGTTTTTTAACTACAGTATTATTATTTCAACGTTTTAGAAAGATAAAAGTTTAAAAAACTACAAAATTCAAGTTTTTAGCTGGCATGACAGTTTTTTTTTAGCACCCTGTAATTCGGTGCAGAACTTTGTCTGTATTTGGAAAGTTTTCACTCATTTCCTAATGCAGTAAATTTTAAAACGTTTTTTTGAATCCGAAAAAAAGCCCAGATGAGCCTCAAAATATCTTGGGCTATGGAATAATTTTTTGTTTTTACAATCACAGCTACTATCAAAATATCATAAGTCACGTCCGAATGGGACAACCCTTTGTATATAGGCACACATTTGATTGTTGTTACGAGCAAGCTTTACATTTCAAAATGAAGATTTCAAGATGTTTTCCGAAATAGTTTTCTCATCAGTCCCACCGTATCAAAAACCGAGATGAAATTCGTCCTAAAAAGTGTTTTTTTTAGATGCTGCTTTCATACAGCATAACATTTTTTGTGTCTCACGTTTTTCGCATAATTTCATTTATTCGTTTCTCTGTTTTTTTTTTGCATAGTTTGGGAATGGAGAAGAGTTCAGCGTGGCTGCCGAAGGAGAAGCAACTCCAACAAAGACCAGATTTTACAGGAAATCTGATCCTAATCCTCCGGCTGCTGTTGTTGAGGATAACAGAAGAGTAAGTGTTGAGAACAGGATTGAAAATATTCTGTACAGTATCAGAGAAGCTCATTTATTTAGCAATTATATTCTCGAAAAGAATTCATTCGATGAAAAAAGAATCTCTCTATATTGCTGTACTTGAATCAACTTCATATTAACCATAGTTTTTTCTTTTTTTTTTCTTCTTTTCTACAGCCGAGTTTCGCCAGGAGTTCGCAGCAATTCGTGAGCCGGTAAGAAAAAACAAAATCTTTACATGGACGACTATGAAACTCGATTGTGACATTTTTTTTTTTGGCTTGACGGATTTTTGTGACGAACAGAATGCCTTTTTTTCTTTCTTTCTTTCTTGTGTTTCTGCTGTTCCTGCAAATTTTCTGTCTATCTCTCCTCTCGATGCGCGCCCGTCTTTTGACTCTCGTGCTTGCCGGTGGACTAAAGTGACAGAAACTACATCTGGTTGAGACACACCGGGAATGAACTCGACAGCAGTGTAGAAGACTATGTAGATGTCGGTAGAAGCGTGCGCGTGAAACGCCAGGTCCCCGCCTGGGGCAACTTGTTCGGTCGACGCAGCAGCAGCAGGTATTTACGACAGCAACCAAACCGACACCGACAGCAACAGCGACACCAACAACGACGCACTCGACCCAGGACGAGTGGACATCGCTCTCGTCGACGCTTGTTCGGTGGTGCTGGAGAACAACAGCAGCAGCAGCAGCAGCGTCGACGTCGGGTGTTTTCCTTCGGCGGGGGCATCGTCAAACACCGTAACAATAATAATAACAATGTGTTGGAGCAGTCGACGAGACGCAGAGACTCTGCTGCTGCTGCTGACGACGACGACGTCGTGGACAGATTCGACGCCGACGACGACGATGACGTTTGGGCGAGGGAGTTCGGGGACTTTCGCTTGCCTTCTGGCATCTTTCGCACTGAAGACAAACTGCCTAACTGGGCGCCTCATCGTCGGTGAGGATGAGTGGCGCCCCTGTTGTGGTTCTTTTGACGCACGTACTGGTCCTGACATCTATGACAGATCAGGCCAGATGGTGCGTGGGCGCGTGTTGCGCTTTGGATGAACAGGTGTCGCTAGTATCGTCACGTCCCCCTCGCGTTTGTACACTTCTTGATCGACTTCAAATTATTATTTGCAGTCTTAATGCGATTGATTTTAAAGAATCTTAAACAGTGCAGTTTTTGTGCGTGATGAAAGTGGAACATATAGAGTTGACCTTGGATGGTTTGAATCTCTTCAAGTCGAATAAATGCGCATATATGTCATATGTTTGAAAGTCCCTGTCTGAATTATCTGAGAATAAAGAATGCATTAAAACCCTTCCTAAATCAGAGGCTCCAACCTCCATAATTATAATTTGCTGGGGGCCTTTCTGCTATTATTTCATTGACACGGAAAAAATAAAAGCAATAAAAATGTAATGCCATGAGTTTTTAACGGAAGTGAAAGTTTTATTGAGCAAATGAACAATTACCTCCAAGTTCAGCATTCTCTCAATTCATTCAAGAAGCAATTTAAGGCCCAGAATATCACTGATTGCCGTTTTCTGTAATTATTCTTTCTTGTCCACCGACAAAAAAAAACTTGTTCCCTTGACTCCAAACCTTCCTGAATCGATTTTTTTGCGAGTTGCTTGACGTTTCAATTGAAGAGGTTTCACTGATTGATTGATCAAATCAATCCAGTTCTCCAAAGCGCATCAAGAACCCTTTGCTTGATTAACTGCTTTGCTGACTTTCCTCGACCACTGATCAAAGTTGCTCAGTGATGAGCAACGTGACTTTAACGAAGTTAATCAAAGACGGTTGATTGGGTGAAGGTTAATTATGAGGCATGTTTTTCTTTTTGCAACGCTTTTTTTTCTGAAAAGAAAAACCAACGACAAAAAGAAAGGGATTAAGTTTTCGGTTGTGTGAAGCTTCATTTTATAGGAGTTGCATTTTTAAATTTTTTTATATATATATTTTGTTGTTGCTTGTTCTGTTTGAACCTGAAGCGAACAACTCAGTGGTCGACAACAACAAAAGCAACAGCTGCAACAGCAACAACAACAACAGCAGCAACAACAGCCTTCACAGACTCAGTCTGAAGCGAATTTCGGGTTTTCGGACTTTGATGCAGGCAGGTTCTTTGGGCCACAGCAACCCAGTTCGTCGGGAGTGGACATCCGGAACCAGGGCTCAGCTGGGCAACGGTTCCCGACCCTGTTTGCACCCACTCCTCAACAGCCTGCTCAGCAGTCCAGCAGGTTTTATTCGTTGACAATTTTTTAAAAAATCAAATTCCAGTATTTTATTTAGATCAAATCTGGTTTCAGAAATTTTAGGGGCCTTTAAAATTAAGAATATTTATTGTTGTAAATAATGTGGTGTAAATTTACTCTACTCTTCATTTGTTGATGTTCAGTATTTAATCCAGCAGGTCTCATTCATTTACCTTTTTCTTTTATTTTATTTTTCCTCAAGGCCTATATGAAGGTCAAGTCTTGTGACAAAAAACTTTCAGGGGCCTTTCAAAAACATGTACTGTATTATAGCAGTAGTATTTTTTGAGTATTTTTCTTATACAAATCAAAAAGAAATACTGTTCTTGAACATATGAACGACGCTTTTCAGTATTTCCACATATTTCTCATGGCAGAAGTCCAGTTTCAAAGTATCTCATGCAAAAATAATGTTCTTTATCTCCAAAAGTGCAAAGAAAACTGCAGAAGAATTATGAAAATTGTTATGATTTTTTGCATGGATTACAGTTTACATTTTTTTCAACATGTATAGCAAGAAAAGGACTCATTTCCAAAGAAGAAACAACTCATTTATCAATGATGAAAATGCAAATAACTGTGATTACAGACTGCCATTGACGTAAACATATTGTTTGAATGTACTGTAATTGGTATCCTGTGCTAATCAGTTGATGAGACAAAACATTAGTTGCATAATCAAATTGAAGGCAGAGAACAATATTCAAGGGTTTAAGTTTATGAAAAGGCATGTTTGGCAAGCAAAAAAAAACATTCGCAGCAGTTCATCAGGATCAAAACATGTGGTAAAAATCAATGTTTTGTCAACAGGAAAGCCTTGGCAAATGGTATCTTTTTCAAGTTTTTTTTTCATTTATTGTGGAAAAAATTTGATTTCCAAGAAATATTGTCTATTTATAAAGTGGTTGCTTTAATAGGCTTTGAATATGGTTTTGTAGTGGCAAAACAAACAAAAAAGCTGCAGAGTGCTTAACAAATCCCTGGTTAAATTTTGTGCGCAGAATTTTTGGCAATCAAGGTGGCAACTCTGTGACAACCCCTTCCTCAAAGAGGCTGCCTCCAGTTGATAGGCAGCCAGCCACATTCCCTTCCAAGGAAGACAATAGACAGCAATTCATCACTCCCTCGCCTCCTGCTCAACAATTCCCAACAAGGTGAGAAAATCAATCAATCAATGTGACAATACCCTCATCATGACTGATTTTCTCCTGATGAAATTAATCTGCTGCAGATTGCGTGCAGAAAGAGTGAAAGAAAGGGTCACCTTGGCCAAAACCACACCAACAACCACCACCACCACCACCACCACTACCACTCCTAGGCCTACTGCACAACCCTCAGTGAATTTTGGCAATGACTCAGATGGAGAACCCATTTATGTTTATGACTACTATGATTATGAAGTGCCAGCAAGTGCTGGCAACTCTGACCAGCAAAACCAAGACCAACAACAAGAACAACAGAATGCCCCCGTTCAGGCCCCCCAGGCACAACAACCTGCACACAGGTTCATCAACCACAACAACAAGAGTCCACCTGCTGCAGATTTCAGGCAATTTCAAGAAGCTGCAGTTCCAGTTTCCACAACTGCAAAGGCAGTTTTTGGCAATGGAGGCAACATTGTTGGCAGCAGGTTCAGTGGAGAGCTTCTGCAACAACAGCAGCAGCACCAACAACAACAACAACAGCAGCAGCAACAACAGCAACAACAACAGCAACAACAACAACAACAACAACAACAGCAGCAGCAGCAGCAAAATGAAAACAACAGCAGAGGGTTCTCCCTTAATAGGTAACAGAGTTGTATGATACTGATGCAGTGTTTTTTGATATGAGTAAACTGTTTGAATTGTGAATAAGGAGAACCATTGACCTGGCATTGTACATAATTAACCAGCTCCATCCTTTACACCCATGTCTTATGAGCTAAAGAAAGAAGCCCTTACCCTTACTCAATTCTTCAAGCAATCATCTGAGAAAAAGTGGCTATCAAAGGATTTTCCCTTTTTTTCACCTGGGATTTTCCCTTTTTGTCTTCTGTGGATATAACTCCTTTTAATGCAGTACAGTAGTATGCATTAGGCATTTCCCAGAAAAGTGTGCATACTGGCATTGAAAATTTTCCTAAAAGATTATTTTAACATGTACTCTATGCTGGGCTTTCTGTTGGGACTTGGAAAAAAGTTTTTTATACTAAAAAATTTGTTGTTCCAAAATTGGATTGCAATGGCTGGCCTATAAAAGCCAAGTCAAGTATTTTTAATAAATTCCAAAGGAAGCTGTTTGTAGCACTTGTGCTTTTCTAATTTTGCTGGCACACTGGCAAACCTGCCACAAAGATTTTACTTTTAGAGAATTCAAGCACAAAAAATAGCATGGGCCAGGCTGCAGGTTTCTGGTTAAATGTCTAAATTTTATGAACCTTCTGCTTCAGATACTTTATGCTTTTTTCTTGTTCTGACCACAAAATGCACATAGAAAATTACTTATTTCTTTATACAAGTAAGAACATTTGTTCTTTATGTAGATCTTGAATGAAATTCTACAATGAGAATAGTGCTTTAGCAATTTATGCTTGTTGTACAAAACAAGCCACCATTTACTGTATGGCAATTAATATTGCTGGATTTGTACAAAAAAATAGGGTTCAGTCCCTCTAGAAAATCTTGGATTTGTACGGGCTAGGTTGCATTTTAATGACCTTTGGACAAGTCAAAATCTGCTTGAGTGCAAAAAAAAGAAAAATGTGGCTCATGCAGCCAAACCATGTTCACCCACTGCTGTTCAAGGGCTACAGTCTTCAACATAATTCCCATGGACTTTTCTTTTATTCTTGACTGATTTTGCCCCAATTGACAAGTATTATGCAGTTCCCCCAAAAAGTTTGTATGATGGAGTACAGTACAGTAAAGTGAATAATGTATGTGTTTAGAGGAAATGGGTTGCAGCAGCCAGAAGTGGTGAGAGGTGATGCTGGGTCAGCTTCCCTGTTTGTGAGGGACAGAACTGTCAACAGAAATGCCAAATGGACCAGTGACAGTCAGCAAAGGTGACAGAATGAAATTCAGTTACATTCAAATACCAAACCATCAACTGCAACAACCACAAAAAAATGGATGATGGTCATTTATTTGTATTACTCACAGTCTATACTCACTTTCATTACTGTACTATACAGTACTCACATCTGTAGTGTTTTATTTATTTAAAAAAATTTGAAAAATATGATCACTTGTTTTCTTATGTATCACCTCCTGACTGGGCAAGGGGTCTTTCTTGGTCGGGTTTCAGTCACCATCCCTTTGTTCCCTTTGTTGGTTGCACTTATTCTTGCAAAATTGCCTCTGCATCCATCCTGTGTGAGGTTCTTTCACAATTTTTGCTAAGGTTTTACATCCTTATTCATTCCAAGCGATTGACTTTCCACGTTTTTCTGCAGGGGTGTGGAGAGCAATGCAGTGGAGAACAATGTTGTGTCCACAACTGCTGAACCTATTGTGAAGACAAGTCAAGCCCCAATAAGGTGATTTTAATTATGCATACTCAAAGTGCAGAAGAACCAAAATTCAAGTTTTGGAACTTTGATTCAGTGGAACCAGCATTTTTGCTTGGGCTAAGAAAAAGAATTACAGAGAATTGTTATATTCTATGGGTCTTGAACTGCTGGTTAAATGAGATGACAGGATGCTGAACTTGAATTCAATGATACATTTGGTCATTTAGTCTCTTGCTTTGTTTTGAAAAGCCTCTAGCTACATCTTGTATTTCTCTTCTTCTTCCCTTCAAACAGTGGTACTTAGAGAGACAAACCTAACTTGTTCATGTTTGAAATTTGTTTTTTAATTCTTTGTAATTTGTTCAAAATTTGTAATAAACATTCCAATTACTGAAGTGCATACACTTGCACTACAAACATAATTTCCATAAAGAATGAATTTATTTGGCATACAACCATTAAAAGTGTTTTCATGCACATTCTGTAATACATGTAGTACCTTGTGATTCAATTTCCTGCAATTTGGCTGTTCTGCAATTTGATGGTTGATGACATGCAATTCAACCCTTGTCCACAATTTAACATGCTTTGGCCACTTTTTTGCATTCCTGTAATATTTTTGAATTTCACAAAGTGTCTCGCAATTTGACTGCTTCTCAATTTGACCCTAAATTGGCGATGGATTAGGGTTGAATTGCAAGGTACCACCTGTAGCAAACTTTTTCTGAGGTTCCATCAAGTTTGTCTAAACAAGATATTACCGTACAGTATAACAAACCTTTTCTAAAGTCCTGAATGGCTTGTTATTGTAATGAGATTCGGCTGTACTGGATATCCATGGAATATACAGTACAGGATCATGAATAATACGATGGTTCTAACAAAAGTTCTCTTGATAGAAATAAAAATGGCATCTAATCAAGCTGAAAAAAATTATTCTTTAGGGAAAACATATTCTTTGGCACACAAAAAAAAAATCAGCCCTCCTTGAAAAATGTTTTTTGTAGCCCAGCTTTCCCCTCAGAATTCTTGAAATTGACGCGGCATCAATTCCAAGGGTTGCCTCCAGGTCTTCCAAGGTAATTCCACCATTTTCATCAACGGCCGCCTTCACAGCCGCCACATCGGTTGCCACATTGGTGGCTGTTGATGAAAATGTTGATGAAACCCTTGAAATTAATGTCATGTTGATTTCAAGAATTCTAAGGGAACAGCTGGGCTAAAAAAATGTAAAAAAAAAACTGCAGAGGAAGGGTGCCTCATCTTTTGAGTGGAGAGCAAAACTCTGCCAGGGTGAATTTTGCAAAACATTCACAAAAAAATTGTCAAACAGGTCTGATTTTTGTGTGTTTGTGTGTGCCAAAAAATATGTTTGCCCTATAAAGAATAAATTTATTTCTATTCCGATAACTTTTGTTAGAACCCTCGTACAATATAATGCACTGCGTAATACTGATGCATATATATTGCGTATACTGTATATATATATAGGCCCAGTCGACGGCCCACCCTCAAGCCCGTCTCCAAGCTGGTGCCCAAGAAGGTCCAGCAGACGCCGCTCAACATCTGGAAGTCCGTGCCGGGGCGCCCGGCCGCCGTGTACCCGCAGCCCGCCTACAACGAGCCGGCGACCAAGTGCCGCCCCGACGTGTGCCTCCTGCCCGACTGCTACTGCGGCGGCGGGAAAACCGTGCCCGGGGGCTACGAGCCGCAGGACATCCCGCAAGTCGTGCTCTTGACCTTCGACGACGCCGTCAACGACCTCAACAAGGAGCTGTTCCAGGACCTGTTTGAGCGAGGCCGGGTCAACCCCAACGGCTGCCCGATCCAGGCCACGTTCTACGTGTCCCACGAGTGGACCGACTATTCCCAGGTGCAGAACCTCTACGCCGACGGCCACGAAATCGCCTCGCACACCATCTCGTGAGTCACTTGATTGTCGTTTTCGTGCCGATAAAAATGCAGTGAGACCCCGGCATGCGGACGCCTCGACCTGCGGACAATTTGACATAGGGACACTTGTTTTCCCAGAAAAAAATTCATAAAAATGGCCACACTGACTCGACATAGGGACATTTTGTGATAGAATTGCGAATACATTTCAGGCCAAATTACAAGAAACGGATATTTCCAACCCTGAAATTGATGTAAGAAAAGTTCTTGTGCATTTCTCTCACCAAATTACCATCCATTTAGCTAATTTTAAAAAATTACCTCCAGCATAAAGGGACTTCTACTTTTTTCACTTGAATGTTATTTTTGTAAATGCCAAAATTTCAGTGTACAGTGCAGAGACACACTATTCAATGCTCCAAATGTTCTTATTGAGTTGCAAATGGATTCACTAATTCAAATTCAAGTGGCAAACAATTTTTTTCAAGGAATTCTGAAGAATATTTCTTCCACAAAACACCAACTGAAAATTGTATAATGTAAGTCTTTGAGAAAAAAGACTCAACTTAGGGGCATTTTGATTTGGGAACACTCTTGATGCACCAATTACATCCGCATCTTGTGGTCTCACTGTAATGTACAATACTGCACCTTCAATTTCATCTCGTAATATACTTTAAAGTGCATGAGCTGAACTTTATTTCCAGCATAATGATGACAATGCAGTACTTCTTTTAATGCAGCATTAACAAGCCTTTTTGGGCTCATGCACCTGTTTGGTGGATTTCCATTTCAAAAATTTTGAGAAATGGCAAATTTCCAGAAAATCGTATGCAGACCAGCAAAGTTTCATAAAATGTTTGCAAATTGAAAACAAATTGCATTCAAAAGACTTCCTCTGGCATGTATTTAAATTGTTTCTGCTTCCGTAACCTTTTCCATGGAGTGTCAAATTTCTTGCAAGTTTTCAGTGGACTGGAAAAAGATCTACAAAATTTTTGCAAATTCAGAAAAGTTTTGGCATGTATATAAAAAAAGTTTCTCCTTTTTTTCAAAACTTATTTTACAAACCATTGAAGCAGCTATATAGTGGAATGCCTTTTAAAATTTAGGAAGGTGCGCTCAAAGAAAGGTTTATCAGAAGGAATGCTTGAAATAAATGCATTTAAGCAGGGGAAATGTTTTCTCAAGTGTTGTTAGGAGAAAAGCCAACTTTTATTTTTCATCAGGATGATTTCAACTGCCATTGTCTTTCCAAATTTTTAAATAAAGATTACAGAATTTGGTTGTGTGGTGCTGTACTTGTGATGCGTTCATTATGCTGGAGAAAATTGTTGATCCAAGGACCACAGGTTGGGGAACCTTGTTTTACAATCGAACATCTCTTATCAATAAAAAATTATCATTATTTGATGATCATTGTCTTTGATTATTATCATGATACTGTAGCTAAGTATAAATATTATTTTAGTTGATTTTCATTTCTTGTTTGTACTCTATCATCATATTTTGATAATTATCATCATTTTTTTATATTTTTCATTATTTTTTATTTCATTTTTTATTATCAGAATTTTCATTATACAGTACTTTTTAATAATAACATTTTTTTCCTGATTTTCTCTACATTTCAGTTGTGTAGCATTTTGTTGTTAATTTTATTTTTCATTTACTGTACAAGTATTGATTTTTCGATTGAAAATGCAGACATAGCTTCGGCGAGAACTTTTCCGAGAAGCGGTGGGCCCAGGAAGTGGAGGGCCAGCGGGACGTGATGGCGGCCTACGCCGGCGTGTTGCGCGAGGACGTCCGGGGCATGCGGGCGCCGTTCCTCCAAATAGGCGGCGACAAGATGTTCAAGATGCTGCACGACCAGAACTTCACCTACGACTCGTCCATGCCGGTGTACGAGAACAAGCCGCCTAGCTTCCCCTACACCCTGGACTACAAGCTCTTCCACGACTGCATGATCCCGCCGTGTCCCAAGAAGTCCTTCCCGGGCGTGTGGGAAGTGCCCATGGTCATGTGGCAGGACCTCAAGGGCGGCCGCTGCTCCATGGTGGACGGATGCTCCGCCCCCGGAGACGCCGAGGGCATCTACAAGATGCTCATCAAGAACTTTGAGCGCCACTACACCACCAACAGGTTATTATTACTATTATTATTATTATTATTATTATTATTATTATTATTGTGCTTCTGCTGATGCTGTGCTTTTCTCACTTTCTCTTTCTTTCTTTCTTCTTTGAATTTTTATTAGAACCTCTCTTAGTCGAATTTCAAGGGACCTGCAAAAAATTCAACTTAGGGAGGTTTTAACTACAATTCAAAGCCCTTTTTTTGGGGAAAACTTGGAAAAAATACAAATGGTGACGTTCTGGGGCTTAACTGACTCCTTAAATGAGTTTAAAGGGTGCTAAACTTGGAGGCAGGGGTTCATTTGCCCCATTAAGTCTTTCACTTCCTTTAAGACACACAATTTTATGATATTATTGCTTTTTTTCTTTCTTGGGTCAAGAAAATAATGGCCAACAGGCCACAGAAAATTTAACTTATGAAGGTTTGAGGGTAGAAAAGCTTTTGACTAAGAGAGGTTTTTAATTTATTGTTTCTAAGGGGATTCAGATGGGGACCTGAAACAAAATTTCAACTTAGGGGATATTTGACTTGGGGAGGTTTGACTTATTGAGGTTCACCTGTACAGTATATTTACTTGAGTACCAGGTGCACCTTTTTTCCAGAATTTAAGGCAGAAAAAAGGGTGTGTCTGGTACCCAGGGATACAATTTTTGAGGAAAACTTTTTGAAAACCCTGCGCATTGTATGCGGGTATACAAAAATATGTAGAGGAAATGTATGGCACCATACAAATCTTGTTTTTCATGGGAAATAATGGTTGAAGGGATAGCAATTTTAGGAATCAGTTGGAGATGCAACAGGAAGTAAAGGAAGCAAAAGATATTCCTATAATTGAGGGAGCTGTGAACAGTAAAAAGCTGGAAAAACCAGATGTCCATATGGCAAAATGGATCCACACACACAAATTCACAATTCTTAATCCTCAGCAATAACAACAAAAAACTGGAGTGCATGTTTTACACAGGAATAGGTTTTCAGACAAATTTCTTCCAGAAAAATTGGGGCGTGTGGCTTACTCCGGGACACGTGGTACTCAATTAAATATGGTACAGTATTTCACAGCAAATTTCTTTATTCTTTTCATTGTCACATATCACAATAAATAAATGAGTTCTGGTTACATGAGGATTGAAAAGTAAGCTTATCACCAACTTTTTTGTTCTGTTTTTTTAATCATGCAGACTTTGAGGAAGGATGATAACCATTGTCAGTTTCAGACAATTTTCAATTCTTTCTAGACTTATTTAGGAATTGTTTTCACACTTGCAAACAAGTTGACTCATCAAACATCCCTTCTCATTTGTCACAGGGCACCAGTTGGACTCTTTTTCCATGCTGCATGGTTCACTCATGAGCACCACAAGGAAGGCTTCATTGCATTCCTGGACACCATCTCAGCAATGGATGATGTGTGGCTGGTCACCAATTGGCAATCCATCCAGTGGATGAGGGAGCCCACTCCACTGTCTCACATTAAGAACTTCAAGCCATTTGGTTGCCACTATCCTGTAAGACCAAACTAGTCATGTCCAGTATGCATGAAGAAGTATAGGCGCAATCTTATGAAGATCTCATTTTAACACACTCATTTTAGGCTGTGATCTCATTACCAAATATCAAAATGTTGGCCTTATTGATTCTATGCATAGACTAGCTAGAGGGATTATTTGAAAAAAAAAAAGGAACATTGAACTGCTGGTGCTGCATTCCAACTTCATCAAAGAAGCAATTTCTGTAGAGAAAATTTACTGTTGAAAAAAGACAAGAGGTATTTCTTGAAAATTCTTTAGCTATCATCATTTGAACATTGTGTAATGTAATGGGAGAATTTTCCATTGGGGTTTTTCCAGAATGGGTTTCAATTCATTTGCCATAAAATTCTAGTGTAAAATGTGTTGAAAATTGTGAATCTTGATGCAAAAAGGTTTTGTTGTGATTTATTTTGTATCTGGTCCCTGATGGCAGGAAGTTTGTTGTAACAAGATTTTACTGTATAAGGTTGCAGCAGCAGATTCTACATACAGTATACTCCAATAATATTGTAGACTGCTTCAAAATGTGTATCTTATTTCTTATTAATATTTTTTTCAATTTTTCAGGAGAGGCCCGCCAGATGTGCCAGGGCCCAAGTGTGCAACGTATGGCACAACACTGGCGTTCGGTACATGAAAACGTGCCAGGCATGCCCAGCCAAGTACCCATGGACTGGCAACACTGGCGTCACTCCCAGAGACGAATTCTGAGCCATGTTCCCACGCATGATCCAAAGCAAAAACAAAAACATCGGTCATCTATATTCTGGTCTAGTGATCGACGAAAGATGAAGAAGGAAAAAGGCCCTAATTATGTCACACAAAAAGCACAATTAAGCGACTCGTGCGCCATCTTTCCTCGGCCATCGTCTTTATTTGGATGCATTCTTCATATCCTTATTACTATGATAATTTCCCAAGTGATTCTGGCTGCTATGTGTATTTCGAGTTATTTTCATTTTTGATAATGAGTGCTGGTTGAGTGCCATTATGAAGACGAGGATTTTCTTCATATTTATAATTTCTATCTCATTTTCCAATTTCTTCTATATTTTTTTCGAGTCGCTCAAGGGAAAAAACTGGCATTTTTGATGCTAAGATTTTTATGCACAGCGTTTCGTTCTTTGTTTTTTTTCTGGCCGACTTGACAGCGAAGTACCCCGTGTCCTTTTTTAAAATAAAAATAAAAAGGGCTTCGCCTTCGGGTTTGCACAAAGAGGAAAAAAACTGTGATGTGTTCAAAGAAGGGAACAGAGCGAAGAGGTTTCTGTGAAGGGGGTTTTTTTGGCCATGGTTGCTGCTGGATAGAGAGATGAAGAAGAAGAAATATATTCATGATGGGTTTCTTGTGCGGGAATCTGCTGTAGACGAGAGAAAGATGGGGAAAATTGCTCTTCTTCCTTTTTTTTTTTGCAAGGAGCAATATGATGATTTGTGAAATGATGCAAAGTGCGTGGAGACGATGATTATGCGGCTGCTGCTGGTGGATATTTGTACAGTGTCTTTTAGATTGATGTAGTCTTCTTTATTTTGATTGTCTGTTTATTTCTCTCTCTATTGTCCTGCCTTTTTCTATAGATTCCTTTCTTGGTGCAACATTCCATCTTTGGCGGAAAATATAAGGGAAACTTTTCTGGTATGAAACAAAATGGAATTTGTTTTTGTTCCATTGATCCTGCAGCAATCGAGATATGACTAGGAAAGAGTGCTGTACACATGCAGTGAATCAGTGGCCTGCAACCCTTAGTCCCCACAGATTTGCACAGTACGTTTTTTTGCTGGTCCACAGTAAATTTTTTTAGCATAATAAATCCATCAAAGGCAGTAACAAAGTCTGTTGGCAGTAACATTGGTCCGTTGACATTCAAATTAAAGAAGTTTGATTGAACCAGAAAATAAGTGATTGAAATGAATTCAGGAACTCATCAAAAAGTATAAATTTTGAGCTAATCACTGCCTCAATACCCTTCAAGAAAAGTGACCCATCTGCTCTCGGTGGAGAAAGTACAAAAATAATTAAAATTGGTCCCAAAACATTGTAAGGGATAATGAAAATCAAGAAAAGGCGACTTTTGAAATTTCTATTGGGTGTAGAATTCAATAATTTTTTTATAATGTATAAGATAAGCTTACTAACAACCCTCTGAACATTTTCAATTTCAAAAGAGGTGGGAGTTGTCCCACTCTTGGGAATCTGCAAAACTTCTGACATTTGGAATTAATTAAAACCCCCAAAATTCAACTTGTCATAGGTCCCTTGAAATTCAAATTAAAGAAGTTTAAGCCAGAAAAAAGTGATCAAAATGAAGTCAGGAACTCATTAGGAAGTATAAATTTTGAGTAAATTTTGTAAAAATGTTGAAAATTGAAAATGTTTTCCAGATATGAAAATGTTTTGTAAATCAAAAATTTGAACTTTCAAGTTTCTTCTAACCCATTCAATGCAGAATTGGACATTTAAACACTTTTCATCAATGCAACATCAAGATGAATTGTTTTGCACAGGAAATCACAGGCTTTTGCTTAATTTGTTTCCCATTCACACATGAATAAGTAACCAAAGTTTGCAGACCAAGTCAGGGTTGGTTGGACGAGGCAGCTGAGGCCCAAATCAAAAATTTATTGAACAAAATGTCAGTAAGCCACAGCATTTGTTAACCACAACCCCACTGTGTACCAAGGTCATATGAACCAAATGACTATAGTACAACAGTATTTTCAATGAGCAATTCCCTAAGCAGGGTCATCTTGACTTTTTTGATTCATCCATCACTGAAAGTTCCTCACTGTTTCGACGTCACCTGACATGGGCCCCGGTTACTCACCTTTGCTGCCGCCATTCACCACCAGCAATGCACTGATAATAACCCAAAAAATCTCATATTCTCTTCAGCGCAACTGAAAATCTTGCATTTTCTTCACGGGCGAGAAACTGAATGATTGAACAGACGATGAGGCGGACAGGAAAGAATAAATCTCGGGAATTTCAAAAAATTCAACAAACAACCCGATTTTCAAGAGATCAACGCGTGTATTCCGCACGATTCCAGCGGGTTAATAAAAAAAAAGATTGTGAGACAAAAAAGATTCATCTCAGCTTCAGGGCGCTGGATTACGACAGATTCGCGGACGGACAAGATTCACTTCATCGTGGGTTCGTTCTTGTTATTCCGTCTTTTTTTTTTTTTTTCTTTTTTCTGCAAGAGTAAACTGTATTTGGAAGGGGATTGATCGTCACTGCGCCAAGTATTCTTTGTCATTTCACCTCCTAACTGTTCGCGCAGACTTCTTTTTCCTCGCGAGAAAAATGGAGTCAACGACATTCACACACACACACACTCTCATTAAGTTGGAAAACGTGTAGCAAGGTCTAAAACTTCGGAGGAAATGAAGCAAGGACTCTTCAACATAATCACACATATTTTCCCGGACAAAGCCTAATCCTTACAGGAACTTTTCTAATCTTGAAAAGTCACCTTAGAGATGTCAAATCACGGCAGTCGCCACCCATTAAATAAAGAGCATAATTGAGAGGAAAGACTCGCAAAATCTCAAGTCACGTTTAGTCACGAGGTTTGTCCCAGTTGGACACGATTTCACGTATTTTTCGAGTATACGTGATTGCAAGATAAATAAAAAAAACACAGCCCAGGCTGTTTTCAGGCTTTAGGATTTTTTTGAGTTTTGAAAAGGTTTCTCACTGTACTGCATGGTGATAAGTAAAAACTCTTCATTTACATCCGGAGTTCTCCACCTGTGTCACAGGGTGCTGAAAATTGTGTCAAGCCAGGTAAAAATTTTAATTTTTGAAATTTGGTGAAACAATACGTCAATTGGTACCTGTCTTGACCAATTTTAGTACCCTGTGACATGGGGGAAAACTGGCTGTAACTGAAAATTTTTAAATCATCATCAAGCAGGAAATGGAAATACTTTTTTTTTGGTATCCGAAAAAGAACCTTGAATCATCATGGGCTATGAATTGATTTCTTTTCACCATCACACCAACTCCCAAAATATCAGAGGTCGCGTCAAACTGGGACAACCCTCGCAAAAGAAAAAGCTCTCGAACGACATCGAACATCATCATCTCTTCGGATTCTCAGTCGAATTACATAATCTCAAGTTACTAATCCTAACTGCAGGTATAGCCATAATTTTAGAGAGACATCGCAGAAAAGTGGATCCATCAGCTAGGGATAAAAAAGAAAAGTAAAAAAATCGTCACACTCGACGGAAAAACGAAGACGCCGAGAAATACTACGGGAGGTCGCCAAACGAAATCCACTGTTCCACACATAACATACACACACACACAAAGATAAAATCACAGCCGATCTACTGTACTTCTCCGATTCTCTTCACACACACACACACACACACACATGTGCTTGCGTCGTCACTCCGAAGACTCCCGCTTCAACGAAGACGCCGTCTTTTCGCCGTCTTTGTCGTAGCCCTCGTCCGCGTGCACGCTGCTCAGATGCCGTCGCAGGTGTTCACGCCGCGTGTACGACACGGGACACTCGGGACACGCAAAAGGTCGCTCACCAGTGTGCTTCCGCTCGTGTCGAAGTCCGTCTCGCTTCCACGTGCTCACGTGTCCGCACAGGTCGCAAAAGAAGGAATAGCCGCGAGATGACGCGTCTTTCCCACGCCAGCAGTGCTTGCCAACTCGCACCAGGGGCTCCTGTTCCACACATCATAACGAATCACACACACACAAGGAACCGCTGCAGTTGGAATCAAACGCACAAATGACAAGGAACAATTCATGGATATTGAGTCCAGTAAAAGAGCAGAGCTGTTTCTTGAAGTTTTGTTTGAGTTTTATATCACATGCCATCACGCAGGAATCACCAAATTTTCCAGTAAAGCTCCGATTTGATCTCTAAAATTTTCACTCAAGGAAGAATTCATCCAACAACAAAAAACATTTCACCAACGTAAACTCAGGAATAGAATGTTCGACATAACCTTGAGTTTTTCCGTAAGTATAAGCATGTGATCCTCTGAGATAACAAAATGATATCCTTTTATTTTATTGATTTTGGCCCATGTTTCATACATGAGGAGGAAGTCTCGTGGCACTAAATCGGTATTTTCTTCAAGAACACAGAGGAGGGTGATTTGTGGTACAAAATTGAGGTTCGACTGTAATTTTCACTAAATAAACTCACATCAGCTTTAATGGATGCTGGGATATTTTTGGGCTCGTTCCTGTCCATCTCTTGAAAGCTATTCGACGAGTCCTCGAAAAACGCTTCACAATCAACTCCGTCATTCACCTCATTCAACTGCAAAATCGCACGGACGAAAAACATTATTGTAACTTTGTGTACACGATTAGCACGCATAAAAAAAAAAAACTCACATCAGGGTCTGACTTCATACGCTTGGCAGATTCGCAAGAATTTTTCGTTGACGCGGCAGAGCGTTTCTTGGGGGAATTCAATACAAAAGACATGCCTTTGAATTGCTTGCATGGTAGAGCAGTTCCACTGGTGTCCAGAGCTTCATTAGACTGAGGGCCTTCGCTCTTCAAGCCTCGTATCTCAAGAAGGTCTGCGAACGTCATGAACTCGTCCAACTTCTCGCTCGGCACGGTAACCTGCATGAAAATAAAAAATGCTATAATCCAAAATAAACAGAACACTCGCTCATTCGAAGCGTTTTCGGAAAAATCAAATATTTTCAAACGTAACCCCGATTCTCCTTTCGAAAATAATGTGCCTTTGCACTATCTTTGCGTAGTGACGGATGCTCAACATACAGCATTTCATCAATTTGAAACTCCTCATAATTTAAAGATGAACGTTTCATGCCTAGAAAATTCAAATAGCACACGAAGTTTGCGATCAATCGTCACGCAAAGTTTCATTCAGCGAGTAAACAGCAAAATGCAGTACAGTCTTTTCTATTTTCAAATCTTGCGCTACGAATAATTCCACCCACACCCATTTTCCATGCATAACGGAGTGTGAAAAACTTAGCAATGGACGCTATTACCGAACACACAGCGGAACTTCTTCGAGAACCAAACAAGACAGAGCTTACCTTTCCCGAGTACATGAAGTCAAGCGAGAGTTTCAACAGCGTGGCGTCAATTTTCGGCAGTGCGACAACTGAACACCGACCCAATTCCTCGGGGGCAAGTGAACTGAAGAGACGGTCGAAAAAGTCGCTGCAAGCAGCGAGGACCAATTTATGCGCTTGGATCAACTCCCCGCCGCAGAACAAGGCCACGTCAACGAGGGATTCGCGAAGCCTCAAATTCACGAAAGCATCGAACGAAGCCGCGTGATGCTTCTCCCACATCACGTCATACACTTCCCCCATTGTTTATTCCGAGTCTCCGCAAAAACTCAAAAACACCTGAAAAGAATTCCTCTTTAGTTTGAACAGGAATTAAAATACACTAAAGTATAATCGAAGAAGAAAACCACAGGTTCCGTCATGGTATGAATCGATGTTCGCATCTCATGTGCGTCGCGAAACGAATGTACCGTATGTTTTTCATGCAATCATTCCTCCGAAGGAAACTGTAAACGCATGTAAAAGCTGCTTCATGCTTTTATATGCGCCTAAGGTCACAAAATTCCGAATTTCAGAGAGACGATCGGCGTACATCATTCGAACTCTTTCGGATTCTTCAGCGAAACGAGCACGTGATTTCTCGCCGACAACTCAGGATCAAAGATGGGAATGAGCCAGGAATCAAAACCTAGGAAGAGCAGCCCCGTTTCGTCATTAATGGCGAGGAATCAAGTGATTTCGTAGGAAAAACTTCGACAAATCATCACCTTGCTCAAACAGGAACATCATTCTATCCAAAAGCAGCACCGTCTCAATCACAGGGGCAATGCATAGCCTCAACAGGTAAAAGAGCAACACTCTTTTCCAATTTTTTGCAGCGGCATCCAGCCAATCACTATTCAAATGTATCAATTGATTCAATTCTTCGGCATTGATCGTATCCAACTTCAAAATGGCACAATGTGCGTATCTGGAATTCGATGAAAAAAAAAATACAGACACTCGCTTCGTAATCCACCAGCAGCGATGATTGACTCACTCGCTGAAATCCATCAAATGCGCATTCTTCACACCACGAACACCGATTCGCTTCAGCTGACCATCGTGTTGAATCAGAAGCTTCTCCAACATAGCACGATAGCAGTGAATTTTCAGCCTTTCGTAACCACTGACGAGTTTCCCGTTCACGAAACTCTCAAGAGCATGGCAAGCAAGTTCCTTTGCTTCGTACGACAGCGAGAAATTTTCAGAAGAGAGTCGTTTACACATTGGGAAACCAACGAAGTCTCCAGTTGCGCTCAGTTTCATGTAGCAACACGCAACTGAGCAGAGACCAACGATTTCTTGTGTTTCAGCGAACATTCGCAAAACGGCGGGTCCGAGATCACCACACGTGTGCAAGCCACACAACGTAGATCGCAAATTTTCCTTGCCAACTTCCTTTTAATTATTTGCCAGAAGAGCACTTGAATACAAGGACACAAGCCAGAAATATAGGTTCATGCTCACCTTGAGCATGGATCTTCCCGAAGTCCAAGGCTTGACACTGAATGTCACGTGTTCAGGGAGTTTAGAGACTTCGCCTTCTTTCCCAAGACTTTGGGATTCCAAATCGAAAATACTGGAATAAAAGCACTTCGGGTGAATTCCGGAAAAATCAATTGCACGAAAGAGCTAAAGTTTGCACAAGCATTACTAAGATGCTCATGACCGTTCTGGATCAAAATGGTGACTTGAAATGCAAGTGAACTCACCGTGCTTGTTCCGTAAATCGAGGTTGTTCCTCGATCCCGAGAACATCCAATGAGTACTCGTTGCAAAGAATCCTGGCCAGGTGGCCGAGCCCTGATCCCAAATCAGTAACGGACGAATGCGTAGTCTTAGCAACGACACTCACGACCTCAAAGCAATCGTAAATTATAAATCGAACTAGAAGAGTTACAGGGATCATATGCTACCTTTGCCATCCGTGAAATCTCATGCTGCTTTTTCGGCTTCACGTGACGTCGACAACCACCCGACACTGTCATCAGCTGGGTTCCACATATCCAATTATCCTCAGTCGGCTGAACTTCGCTGAATATCTACCGAAGTATACCACATGGAGCACACACATACGATGACCGAAGATATGACAGAACATACTTCGTCTACATCTCGCAGGTTGGCCACAGCGTTCCGTGGAAGGCTTGAATTCCCGCATGTCACAAAAAAATTAGCCAATGTTTCCGGCATCTCCATATTCCAATTGGGGTCTTCCGATCGTTCGATGAGAGAATTCGCGATGACATTTCGAACTGTGTCAACTTCCGCGGCTTCCAAGAACTGTCTCCAGTCCTCAGGTACTTTCCCCCAATGATCTTCAGTGAAGAATTCCTTCAACAAACAAACAAAAATGCATCCTATAGACCAGACGAAACGAAAGCATAATTATATCTTACGATCACAAATGAATCCAATAGCCAAATATGCTTTTCTAAAAATGCGCGTCCCGTAGTAAGATAATGATCCACTTCGAATAGAGAACTATTCGTCAGGTGGATATGTCTGCCGAAACGACTTTTCGGAGAGTTGGAGTTTGACTTCGACAGGGCCGTCATAACCATTGTCGGATATCGATCGTAATTGAGCGACGTAATCTTCGGGCAGTTCGTTTTCGAGGGCACCACTGATTATGACCGATTTGTACACCGTAGAAGGACGACGGTCGTCTTCGAGTGGCCTCACCAATTGATAAGTCCAACAGGAATAGAACGACGAACCATTTCGCACTTCCACTCGGAATCGTCGATAGATGGCTTTTTTCACACCTTCTTGTCTTTGAAATGGAAAATGGACGAGTTTTCTTCATCGCTTCGCCGAAATCTAAATTAGCGAACACTCACTCATCCAAGTGCGCAAGATCATCCTGAGAAATCTTCCAAACAATGCCCCAAACACGACTATTTCGATCTCCAACAATAGTAGCAGCTGCTCCTTGCCACCGGCGGCTGAAGTAATTGAAGTCCAAACGAAAATCCTGCACGTAGAGAACTCAGTTTACATCGGAAAAAAAATGAAATACTACGAATGCTCACCTTCAACTGTGCGATATCAACTTTGACTGCAGATGGACAGCCGATCCGCAAACGAGCCGTCAACAAATTACTTCCGTAAGCAAAATACAAACATGCTTTTTCGCGGATCGGAGTGGCTGACATGCCGCAGCTTAGTTGAACGCACGATGATCTCACGACCCAACTGGGAGATCGCCTCTTCTCACACACTGGTTGCATTTTCAGTGGCACGTGTACAGTCGTCTGGCCTCCTGACGTTTGTGGTGGAAGTACAGGTTTTCATCGAGGGTAGGACCGGGTAAAACCCTTACAGACAGTTCGAGCCATTATAGCAAGAGATAGTTATACAAGAAATCTCAAAAATTCTCGCTGCAGTGTATGCTTGAAGTTGCATAATAAATCGTACCTCGCCATGAGGACTCCCAATTAAGTGGTTGTGGTTCTAATTTGAAGAAAGGTGTGTGCAGTTACATATTATTGATGAGTTTGAGCCAGTATAATATATAACACAGTACACAGCATATATATGCTACATACCATTACTGTTTAGCCATGCATCGAAATTATATTCATATCATTCCCAGCTTGAAAATTGGAGGATACAGTATTATAACATACTGGAGCTCATCTGTATACAGTGTATTGTAAACCCCATTGCAATTAACTTCCACCACATTATATACAGTCAACCCTTGGTTAACAAACATTTTGGTTAACAAACTTTTTGCCTGCAAGAAAAATCCCTCAGTTAACAAACCAAAATTTGGTCAAGTTGCATAACAAAATCTTTTCTTCAAAAATTTGATAATTTGAAATTTGATTTTGAGACTTTTAAAATTTATGGTGCAATCTAAAGTGCAAATATTTCATATATATCCACTTGTATGCAAATTGCTGTCTTTTGAAATTTTCATGGGTTTGAATCTGTTGCTTCATTTTTTTTTCATTTCACCCAATCTACAGTATTATTAGCTAGTACACCTCAGTATTGATTTGCTCTTCTGTGACAGAATTATTTGATTTTCTGTTCTTGGTTTTGTTCATTGCAACCATGCAGCATGTGTTTATAGAACTGTGCTGATTTATCAAACATTCAAATAGTTTTTTGTGTTCATAAACTTTCCACAAAATGTGCAAAAATATTTGTGAAAATTGTGTTAAAAATTTGAACAAAAATGTATGACTTGAGTAAATAACTTTCTTGCAGGTCCTTGAAGAAGAAATGCACACATGTCAAACATGCAGACTTTACATTTTTTTAAATTATGTAAATTTTTCTCATTTTCTCCTAAAAAAAATTTTTTCTCTGTAAACTGTTAGAAGCATGAAGAGTCATTTGTTTCTCATTGATCACCAAACAGCAGATTTTTGTATGCTTTGCAAGCGTATACATTCTTTGAGAAAGTTCTGCATCTGTAAAATATCTCCCAGCCAATTGATCTGGCGTGATATTTTTCTTCAAAATGATTAACATTGTCGACTATTGTTCATGTCAGACTTGCAATCTTAGCTTCAAGCATGAAAAAACACCAAGTGATGCAAGCTCTTGTTATGATGGAGAATAAATCAGGCCTTTGTCAATGGAATTTAACTTTATGTTTTTTAATTTTGTGCAGTTATTTTTCAAAAGTCCTTATTTATTAGGACTGCTGAATTTTGTACAAAGCTTTGTCAAAATTTGAGAAAGGAAGAAGTTCATTGTTTAGTGAAAGAAATGGCATTTCTGATAGTGTAATGAATAAGACATTTGCTGAATAAGAAAATCATAGAAAAGGAGCTCAAATAACAGAAAAGCATATATAGGAATCATTTTCAAATCATACAACATTTTAAAGAGAAGGTCCCAAATGTTTCTAGAGGAAAGGAGCACCTCTTGTTATTGGACACATTTGAGTTCCAGCAATGAACCACTCCAGCAAACCAAGATTATCAGATAGATGTACGGCTTACATGATACTGTATTTTAATGGGTTCATCATGTAATTGAAGAACTGGGGGGGGGGGGGGGGGTACTATGGTTTGAGCTCAACCAATGAGAGCGGTGATAATTCTGCTCCATTCAGAAGTTGTTGAGTGTAGACAAAGGTGATTTCAAGAAATGTTTACATACAGTATGTTCAAATGTTAGACAGGTCAAATTCGTTTTTACTTGCAGCATTTAAAAAATGGAACAAGTCATTTTCAGCTGACACATAACCTTGGTGTGTGCTCCTCTGGATGTGAAGCTTTTTGAAGATTGCTTTCATCACCACTAGATCACCCAAACACTACAAAAACATTCTGGGCACATACAACATGCAGCAACAGCTCATTTCTGATTAAATTTGAAGGTCTTAGATTGAAAAAATTTAACTTTCAAATCACTGCACAGCATTTGTATTATCAGTTCAAGCTGTGTTTCTCAACTTGAGATATACAGAATATCACTGTGCCAAAGAAACCTAAACAGAATCTGATCTTTTAGCATCAAAAACCCCAAAAGCAAGGAAAATGTACAGGCCTTCCTATATTGTCCCCAGATGATGAATACTCCAAAAATAAGCACAAAATTTACCTGTTTTTGACTTTAAATTGTAATAAATTGAAATTCATTGTTAATTTTGATTGCAAAAAATTGATAAATAGCTTGCTTTGTTCAAGAGATATCAAACTTCTCAAATTTTTTTTAACATTTTGGAAAATTTTTTGTTTGTTGAGACATTGTCCAGATATCTGGGCAGGCATAGTTTCTCTCAGTAAAGTCGAACGTATGTATGTCGGGATGCTCGCTGTACTGATGTATAATAAAAGAAGAGCATCACAACCACGTCCACCATTTCATGACTGCCAACGAAAATAGTTTCTGAATCAACACTTGCAGTCTGATATCAATGCACAAACAAAACGATGAGGGTAAAAAAATACATCAAGTATAAAAAGAAAGTAAATAATCGAGTTCATAAAAATTCTGTTCATCTCCTCGGTAAATTTTGCACCACAAAAACCAAACATACCCTTCCGAGATATAAATAAAAACAAGATTTCATCCAACACTCTTCGCGGGAAATAGCCCCTGAATTCGGTGTGTACATTGCTATTTTGGAACCTTAGACAATGCAACTCAATAACACGGACGAAAAGACGTAAAAAAAAACAAACACTAAGAGCAGTACAACAATCGTAGAGCTCTTCGGTTGGAACCAGTATCACAGGGTCAGCCACATTAGCAGAAGAGAATCAAAGCTGCTCCAAAAAACAACTCGCGCCTATGAAAAATATAATACACAGCTATTATCCAGTGTACCCAATGCAGAAACAATAAGTCACTTCAAAACAACTTTCTTTTTTCCTCCTCCTCCGTCGCCAAACTTTGATTAAAAAAAAAAGAAGGGGGACAGAGCGAGAAATAGACAAACACACCCAGGCTCTCCCGAATCCACAAGAAAAACCTCGATGAAAAGACCAAAATCAAACGCAATGATCACATCAGGAACAAATTAAATCAGATTGAAAGAGAGAATGACTCGTGGTAACATTGGGTCAAGTAAAAAAAAAAAAAATCCTCAACATTCTACAATTTCCATCGACTGCTGACCCAATGCGTGCGTCTCGTCCTAATCACAAAACTAGGCGCAGTTTTCCCTCGCGACTCCCGTGCAAAAAATATTAACGATTACGAACCCACTTCGAACACTGTCGAATCTATGAGGGGAAACACTCTCACAGAAAAACACTTCTCAAAAAATAAAACCTGTGCGTTGCTCGAACAGCAAAAGAGAGAGAGAGAAAGAAAACGAAAATCGGAACAAATGCTGCGCACACGTAAAAACTAAATTTTTCGGTAGTCAAAAAACTCCAAACCATCAAGAGTCATTAGCATATTGCGTGTTTCCTTTTTTTTTTGGTCTCCCATCAAAACTGTCTTTTGTTTTTATATCTTTGCAAAAAAAAATTAAAAAAGAAGATGAACACATGGTGAACAAAGAAATGTTGTGAGAATGGCTTTCAAAAGATCAGTCCCAGCAACACCGAAGGGGATTTTCAATTCAACCCGGCGCGAGCTGAAATACACCAAAACACACACTAGCTTTCAGGATTTTACGGAATGAAACCCGGCCGAGGGCAGTTTTAAAGCTTGTACCAATCCCACAGGGTGTCCATAAAGTTTATTGACAACTCAGGAAAAGTCGGCATTTTAAGCAGGAAACCCAAAATCAATAAACTACTATAAGAATAAGAAATTTCAACGTAAACACATGAGGGAGTGAGGATCCCCGAAGCAAATATGGGACTTGACATGACTGTGTGAACTTCACTTTGCTGCTGACATTACTCACTGAGAAAAAATGTCACTAAAAAAAAATCCTAATCGTCAAGTACAGCATATTAACGTTTTACAGAAATAAATACTTCGCCAACAAGTACGTCTCGTCAGTTCTAAAAATCTTTACCTCCAATCGACTCAAGGAGGAACAATTATCGAAGAGAAGATTTTTTTTTTTCATCCTTCAGAAGATTAGAAGTAGATATTTTAGAATTAAAGACTTTTCCACCAAATTGTCCTGTCAGTTTTAACACCCTTACCGCTTATATTTGCAGAATTTAAACAGAAATGAACAGTTTTACAGAAATGAAGCCTTTCCAACAAAAATGTCTTTTCAGTTCCAACATCAACATATTTACCTCTGATCAACTTAAAACGTGAACGAATTCCCAAGTCGAGATTAGAGGTAAAGATTTTAGAACTGAGAACACATTTTTGGTGGAAAAGGCTTCATTTCCGAGAAATATCAACTCTAAAATCCATTATCTCTAATTGGTCCAAAATATTTACCTTTAATCGACTTCGGTTTTCATTCATCTTTGTGTTGTTCAGATTTAAAAATTTCAGAACTGAGAAGACATTTTTAGTGAATAAAGTCATTATTTCTGTGAAACATCAATTCAACCGTAGATTAGAATGACATAAATATTTGATGAAACTTCAACGAGTAACTCAATTTTCCCACTGCACAGTATCTTTCTGAACACCCTGTTGAGATGCCCAAACACTATAAAATATAAACTGGATGCGACGGATGACGGCGAGAGCTTGAAAGAGACGATAGACACTCAAGGCACATAAGCTTGGCCTCAACCCAACCCTTTAAAAAATCACTCCAACGTGACCTTCACGTCTCCAACGATGATGGACAAAAAGCAGCCGAAGTTTCAATGAAAAAAAAAAAAAAAAAAACACACACAAAAACGAACAATTCGCCAACCCATTTGAAAATTCGAT